GAGTGCCTGTGCATCGCCTTCAAGCGTGCTCTCGACGTCCCCGGCCGTGTTGATTTTGCCGAGGACGTCAACGCCGTGCTCTTGGTCTGCGACGAGCCTCAGATCCCCGACCTTGCTTGCCCCGCCTCTACGTCGGGTTGAGGTCGCGTGCGGCCTCGCTATCCCGTGACGCTCACTGAGTGGTGCACACATCGGTGCATGCAAAACTTCACGTCTGCTACTATCTACTCCCTCCGTCCCATAATATAAGCATGTTTTTTACACTAAAAGCGTTTTTGGGACGGAGAAAGTACTACTCTACTATCAGCCTAATAATTAATTAATGTCAGTTAACTTGTACGTACTGGTATGGGCCCAGCTTAGCCCACAAGTTGATCAAGGCTACTGATGTTGGAGTGCTGGTCTTCTAAATAAAAGTTCAACTTATACTGTACGCGGTGTGTGTTGCCCGCGTCCGTTTGATGACATCTTCTACATTTAGGGTGTGTTTAGTTAAAGAACAAGTGGAACGGAATGGAATGGTTTCATTCCACTTGAACGGGTCCGTTCCATTTCTGTATTCGTTACAAACAGAAAAGTGAAAACGGGTTGGTTCCATTCTTGTGTTTCATTAGAGAGATGAAATGAAAAATGGAACCACATGAAATTCGAAATTTTGGCAGCATTTCATTTGTATTTCAAAGAAAAACAACATAACAATATATATATTGACAAGAATCACACATATATGACATCAATCAAACATAAATTTCAACAAAAGGTGCCAACTTCATCCATCATACCCAAAAGCAACCAAGTGCACTACATCCATACATGCCAAGTTATCATACTCAGTCATACAACCATATCGAAATATTGGCTTCTTTGCTGCGTCGTTCATGTGGCCAATAATAAGCCAGAGAAATAATGATTAACTACTAGTAGCTCTTGTCGAGCAATGAATTGAAATGCATAGAAGAATATCATCATCTATCTATATCTATACCAACAATAAAAGACCCAAAGGAGAAGATCCAATTAATCTCGACCATCAAATCATGTCAATCCAGCGACCTAGATTGCTCCAATGGTGACTCTCAACATGTTGAGCGTGCAATTCATAACATACCAAATATCAACATCTATATTAATATCATAATTAACACGTAATTGCTATCCTGCCTAATATCAACGTGCATTGCATGTGCTCATTTACTAGTACTATGACACGTCCTTATTGAACTGACCAAAATATTTGAGAGTTCCAAACAATCGATGGCATTTACCAAACAATTGAGGGTGCCTACCAATAATTCGCTCGTTGTTTTTTCACATGTGCCTATGCCGAATTCGTTGGATCTTGCAGTAATATGGAAACTAATTTTTTTCGATCGGCAAATTTAAACGTTGTACTCCTGACTTTATGTTCCCCACATTATAAGAAAATAAAAAATGTGGCTGCGTGTGTTACCATTTTGATAGTATCAAATCTTATTACGACTGCTGTCAAGGATGGCCCGCTGACATAGATGGTGAGATTGGATTGGAGAGATAAAAATTAACGGGTGAAGGCATATATGACACAATTGATGTTGAATCATTAGAATATGTAGGTTATCATTACAACGCATATGAGCAGTTAGGTAATCACAATAAAAAGTCGTCATGTACTCTTTTCTACACCTAATTCTCTGTATATAATACTCAAAAGAAACCTCGGCTTTTCAGTCCGGACTCGGGACCGGCTAAATTCCAAATTTTCAATGTACCTACGGTGCCATAGTATTATTTCTTGGTTCTATCTACTCTGACCATCGCGCATTTTCTCTGTACTTCGCCGCATTTTCTCGACGTACTTGGCCACATCGCAATCGCGAGACTAACATCAGATTCTCTCTGTACGGTGGTACCAATTTGGCACGGAGACCTTGAGCTCGCCCAACACGACCCGATCGATGGACGTACGCACGCGTGTTAATTAGCCATTTAGGCCTTATAGGGTAGGAAAATCAAAGCAATATGAAAGTCATAAAAAATGAAATGACATATATCTTAAATTCTATGAGTAGGAACAGGAAAAGAGATGCCCTATGATTCACATCATATGAATTTTTTTCATTGAGTCTAGCCTAATGTTTATTTTCCTATGAAATGTGGAGGATAGGAAGAATTCCTCCATAGAAATATGATTCTATTCCTATAAACCAAAGTTTTACACAAATTTTTCTTATAAAAATCCTATGCTATGAAATTCCTACAAGATCCCTCTAAACCAAAGGAGGCCTTATCCGCCTATAAATAGGTCCTGGTTTGACAAGCATCCGCAGCAACACATCACCTGAAAGGAAGTAGAAGAAGCATCCATCAATCGAGCATTCGAGCAGCAACAATGGCAACCACCAAAGCCACGGCGTCCTCTCGTGTCCCGCTCCTGCTCTTCGCCGCGATCCTTGCGGTTGCGGCCTCCGTCCAGGGCCAGGCGACCGCACCGGCACCGGCACCGTCTGCCGGCGGGCAGTGCACGCCGGACTACCTATCTGCGCTCGGCCTCTGCATCGACTTCCGGTTGGGCAGAGTCGATCTCCGCGGGAAGAACCTGGCCAACGAGAGGGAGCGGTGCTGCCGGAATGTCCGCGGGAAACCCAGCGCCGCGGAGTGCCTGTGCACCGCCTTCAAGCGTGCTCCCGACGTCCCCGACCGTGCTGATTTCGCCGAGGACGTCAACACCGTGCTCTTGGTCTGCGATGAGCCTCAGATCCCCGACCTCGCTTGCCCGGCCTCTACATCGGGTTGAGGCCGCGTGCGGCCTCGCCGTCCCGTGACGCTCACTGAGTGGTGCACACGTCGGTGCACGCAAAACGTCACCTCTGCTACTATCTACTTCCTCCGTTCCATAATATAAAAGCGTTTTTTACACTAAAAGCGTTTTTGGGACAGAGAAAGTACTATTCTACTACCCGCCTAATAAATAATTAATGTCAGTTAACTTGTACGTACTGGTATGGGCCCAGCTTAGCCCACAAGTTGATCAAGGCTGCTGATGTTGGAGTGCTGGTCTTCTAAATAAAAGTTCAACTTATACTGTACGCGGTGTGTGTTGCCCGCATCCGTTTGATGACATCTTCTACATTTAGGGTGTGTTTAGTTGAATAACAAGTGGAATGGAATGGAATGGTTCCATTCCACTTGAACGGGTCCGTTCCATTTCTGTATTCGTTACAAACAGAAAAGTGAAAACGGGTTGGTTCCATTCTTGTGTTTCATTAGAGAGATGAAATGAAAAATGGAACCACATGAAATTCGAAATTTTGGCAGCATTTCATTTGTATTTCAAAGAAAAACAACATAACAGTATATATATTGACAAGAATCACACATATATGACATCAATCAAACATAAATTTCAACAAAAGGTGCCAACTTCATCCATCATACCCAAAAGCAACCAAGTGCACTACATCCATACATGCCAAGTTATCATACTCAGTCATACAACCATATCGAAATATTGGCTTCTTTGCTGCGTCGTTCATGTGGCCAATAATAAGCCAGAGAAATAATGATTAACTACTAGTAGCTCTTGTCGAGCAATGAATTGAAATGCATAGAAGAATATCATCATCTATCTATATCTATACCAACAATAAAAGACCCAAAGGAGAAGATCCAATTAATCTCGACCATCAAATCATGTCAATCCAGCGACCTAGATTGCTCCAATGGTGACTCTCAACATGTTGAGCGTGCAATTCATAACATACCAAATATCAACATCTATATTAATATCATAATTAACACGTAATTGCTATCCTGCCTAATATCAACGTGCATTGCATGTGCTCATTTACTAGTACTATGACACGTCCTTATTGAACTGACCAAAATATTTGAGAGTTCCAAACAATCGATGGCATTTACCAAACAATTGAGGGTGCCTACCAATAATTCGCTCGTTGTTTTTTCACATGTGCCTATGCCGAATTCGTTGGATCTTGCAGTAATATGGAAACTAATTTTTTTCGATCGGCAAATTTAAACGTTGTACTCCTGACTTTATGTTCCCCACATTATAAGAAAATAAAAAATGTGGCTGCGTGTGTTACCATTTTGATAGTATCAAATCTTATTACGACTGCTGTCAAGGATGGCCCGCTGACATAGATGGTGAGATTGGATTGGAGAGATAAAAATTAACGGGTGAAGGCATATATGACACAATTGATGTTGAATCATTAGAATATGTAGGTTATCATTACAACGCATATGAGCAGTTAGGTAATCACAATAAAAAGTCGTCATGTACTCTTTTCTACACCTAATTCTCTGTATATAATACTCAAAAGAAACCTCGGCTTTTCAGTCCGGACTCGGGACCGGCTAAATTCCAAATTTTCAATGTACCTACGGTGCCATAGTATTATTTCTTGGTTCTATCTACTCTGACCATCGCGCATTTTCTCTGTACTTCGCCGCATTTTCTCGACGTACTTGGCCACATCGCAATCGCGAGACTAACATCAGATTCTCTCTGTACGGTGGTACCAATTTGGCACGGAGACCTTGAGCTCGCCCAACACGACCCGATCGATGGACGTACGCACGCGTGTTAATTAGCCATTTAGGCCTTATAGGGTAGGAAAATCAAAGCAATATGAAAGTCATAAAAAATGAAATGACATATATCTTAAATTCTATGAGTAGGAACAGGAAAAGAGATGCCCTATGATTCACATCATATGAATTTTTTTCATTGAGTCTAACCTAATGTTTATTTTCCTATGAAATGTGGAGGATAGGAAGAATTCCTCCATAGAAATATGATTCTATTCCTATAAACCAAAGTTTTACACAAATTTTTCTTATAAAAATCCTATGCTATGAAATTCCTACAAGATCCCTCTAAACCAAAGGAGGCCTTATCCGCCTATAAATAGGTCCTGGTTTGACAAGCATCCGCAGCAACACATCACCTGAAAGGAAGTAGAAGAAGCATCCATCAATCGAGCATTCGAGCAGCAACAATGGCAACCACCAAAGCCACGGCGTCCTCCCGTGTCCCGCTCCTGCTCTTCGCCGCGATCCTTGCGGTTGCGGCCTCCGTCCAGGGCCAGGCGACCGCACCGGCACCGGCACCGTCTGCCGGCGGGCAGTGCACGCCGGACTACCTATCTGCGCTCGGCCTCTGCATCGACTTCCGGTTGGGCAGAGTCGATCTCCGCGGGAAGAACCTGGCCAACGAGAGGGAGCGGTGCTGCCGGAATGTCCGCGGGAAACCCAGCGCCGCGGAGTGCCTGTGCACCGCCTTCAAGCGTGCTCCCGACGTCCCCGACCGTGCTGATTTTGCCGAGGACGTCAACACCGTGCTCTTGGTCTGCGATGAGCCTCAGATCCCCGACCTCGCTTGCCCGGCCTCTACATCGGGTTGAGGCCGCGTGCGGCCTCGCCGTCCCGTGACGCTCACTGAGTGGTGCACACGTCGGTGCACGCAAAACGTCACCTCTGCTACTATCTACTTCCTCCGTTCCATAATATAAAAGCGTTTTTTACACTAAAAGCGTTTTTGGGACAGAGAAAGTACTATTCTACTATCCGCCTAATAAATAATTAATGTCAGTTAACTTGTACGTACTGGTATGGGCCCAGCTTAGCCCACAAGTTGATCAAGGCTGCTGATGTTGGAGTGCTGGTCTTCTAAATAAAAGTTCAACTTATACTGTACGTGGTGTGTGTTGCCCGCATCCGTTTGATGACATCTTCTACATTTAGGGTGTGTTTAGTTGAATAACAAGTGGAATGGAATGGAATGGTTCCATTTCATTGGAACGGGTCTGTTCCATTCCTGTGTTCGGTACAAACAGAAAAGTGGAACGGGTTGGTTCCATTCTTGTGTTTCATTAGAGAGATGAAATGAAAAATGAAACCACATGAAATTCGAAATTTTGGCAGCATTTCATTTGTATTTCAAAGAAAAACAACATAACAGTATATATATTGACAAGAATCACACATATATGACATCAATCAAACATAAATTTCAACAAAAGGTGCCAACTTCATCCATCACACCCAAAAGCAACCAAGTGCACTACATCCATACATGCTGAGTTATCATACTCAGTCATACAACCATATCGAAATATTGGCTTCTTTGTTGTGTTGTTCATGTGGCCAATAATAAGCCAGAGAAATAATGATTAACTACTAGTAACTCTTTTCGAGCAATGAATTGAAATGCATAGAAGAATATCATCACATATAAAACAATATGTTGGCCGTATGTACTCCCAGCTCTTACCAATATGAGAGCTTATTTCTTCTAGAAGGTAAGCCAATTAATCAGCTAGTCTAATCACCCACTTAATTACAATTTACACCACCTAGCTTTAGAGGGAGAAGCTGCCCATGCCAGAGCTGGAGCGGAGCGTCAGGAACGGGAGCACGGCATCGGGCGACGCCACACGCGCGGGAGCATGCGCCTTGTCGGTGACCGTGATGCCGTTGTACCTCGGGCGCGCGGACGGCCAGGGCAGGTTCTTCGGCACGACGTTCTCCGGCGAGTTGGTGTGCCACGGTGGGCACTGCCTCCAGTCGCTCCACCGTGCCGGCACCTGCGCGCGCAACAGCGCCGCCCCGTGCGCCGTGCCGCCGTCGGCAGGCCCCCGCGCCATGGCCTCTCACCGGCCCGCTGCGTAGTTTTCGCCCCGCCGCTGCCTGATCTCCACTCGACGCTAGGTCACCGCCAAGTTGCTGCTGCGCGCCATCAAGGAGGAGAGATGGAGGGGAGGAGAGTGAAGCCGGCACCAGAGAGGAATGGAGGTGGCAGATCGAGAGGGGGGAGATGCGGGAGGGTGGCGGCGCTGAGATAGAGGAGTCGCTAGAGGATAGGGCAGAGGCGCATGCGAGAGGAAAAGGGCTCGTTCCCTGTCATCCGCTCAATTTGAAGGTATGCCTCCATTCCACATAATGAGCAAATATTCTGTTCCTGGGAAGGGTGGATTCTGGTTCCATCGACTACCGAACGCGAGAATGGGTTGTGGGAACGGGTCGGACCGTGACATTCTACCCGGTGACAACAACTATACACACCCTTAGAGCGTCTACAACGTCACCTAGCTAATTTGGTCTCTCAAATGTTCGCCCCTCATTTCTCCTGCAAAATAACCACACCATACCCCCTACTTTGAACCCTCACTTTTGTTTCTACATGTGAACATTTCATCGAACACTCTATGTGAGACACTCTCGAAGCATGTAGAGAACACGCAGAGCAGCAACATCACCTCGAGAACACACTGCAGGTCTGCAGCTCACGCACTTCCGGCCGGATAACGCATCCAACGGCACAGTGCATGGCCGGAGGTGCGATAAATGAAGTGATTTGCATGTATGGCTGGCTGGTGGCCGCGCGCACGGTACCGCCGGATGGAGCAACAGCGGTCGGAGGGTTGAGCCCGAGCAGCGAGCACATCCATCCCGGAGCACGTGTTGACCTTGCCGTCCAGAGTGCGCACATTGCACGCGGCGGCTAGCCAACACGTTCGCGGCAAGCCAGCCAGCGTAGCCCGCCAAAACCAGGCGGCGGCCAGCACGCCTCCTCCGTCCACGCCGTCGCCAGTCGCCTCCTCCGCCCATGCCATCGCTGGCGAGAAGCACCACCTCCTCTGCCCATGCCGTTGCATGCTCCATGCAATATATATATGAGAGAGGAAGGACCTTAGGATAGGTGCAGGTGGGACCGCTATGACGTGAAGTGGAGTGCCCGGGCAGCCTCATATTGCTCCCAGATTTGGCCTGGATTTGAGGTACGCCGGCTGGTCCGGGCGTTTAGGAGGAAGGAAGTGAGTCCAGTTGGGTCATCACTTTTAGATCTGGACACTGACCGAGCGGCCATTTCGAACATTGAGGGAGGAAATAGGGCGTTCGATTGTAGATGCTCTTATATTTTATAGATATATAGAACTGTGCTATTTGGCATATGTGTGCCATATAAGTAAAATAGTCACACCTCTACTTCTTTCACTTTAAATACATGCATACATTAACACTCTTTCTCCTTTCACGTGCATTTCTTTTTCTAATTATATGCATACACTAAAGGACAAAAAGATGATGTCATTCTAGATTCTCTTTATTTTAAAATTTTAAAATGTTTTGTAGCTTAAACCGACGGTCCGATGTAAAAGTCATTTCTACATAAATGATTCGTCGCGACGAGATATTCGAAACTAGATTCCATGTTGGCATGTTTCAATGACTTCTTTTTTCAGACAAAATTTACCACGCCTAGGCTACACAAGTTACCATGCCCATTATATGCATGTTACCGTGCTATTTTCACATAAGTTATCGAAGGCATAAAAATAGTTCACCGACCCTGTAGTTCATATATTACCATGTTGTATTCATATAAATTATCGGGCCTGTGGTTCTTATATTACCATGTTGTTTTTAGGTCTGCGGTTCGTATATTACCATGCTCTTTGGTCAATGTTATATCGGTGCTTGTACATAAGTTATCAGCCGTGGTTCGTATTTACCATGATTTTTTCATATAAGTTACCTGGGGTATGTTTTTAACATTTTTTCCGCTTGATCAAAGTTACCGTGGTGTTTGTACGTAGGTATGTGATGTGTATGTAACCATGCTATTTACACAAAATTCATGGGAGTATATTTTCAACAATTTTCCCACCGAATCAAATATTATCATGATATTTGTACGCCAGTTATCATGTATGTGATGGGTATATTACCATGCTATTTACACAGAAGTTACTGGGGGTATCTTTTCAATAAATTTTTGCTCGAGATCAAATTTACTGTGGTGTTTGTACCTAAATTATCAAGGTTGTGGTGCATAATTTACTATGCTATTTACATACAAAAGTTACCGGTGTATTTTTTGACCACTTTTTACTACTCTTCCCTAAATCAAGACTATTACCGTGCTATTTACACATAAGTTCCCGGGGTATATTTTTAACAACTTCATCCACCCAAATCAAACTTATCATAGTCTTTGTGTGTAACTTATCAGATCTGCGGTGCATATATTACCATACTATTTATACAAAATTTACCAACAATATGTTCCTAACAACTTTTTCATGGGTCAAAGCTACCATACTGTTTTTGCATAAGTTATTGTGTCTACAGTAAGTACACTACCGTGCTATTTACCTAGAACTTATTGGGGTTAATGTTCTTCAACGGAAAAAACTCAGGGTCAAAGTTACCATGCTATTTGAACGAGAGTTATCAGGTCTTCGGTGGGTAAATCATCGCTTTTCAACAACTTCATTCGGGTCAAAGTTATCATGGTGTTTGTGCTTAAGTTGTCAAGTTTGTGCTCCGTATATTACCATGATGTTTACACAAAATTTACCGAGGGTACGTTTCCAACAACTTTTTTCCCTATATGTTAACGCGATGTTTTTGTGTAAGTTATGGTGTCTGCATTATGTATACTATCATGCTATTTGAATAGAAGTTACCGATGTATGCTTTTCAATTTTTCTCCTTACATAGAAGCTACCGTTGACATATTTTTCAACACATTTTTCCTCCTTGGTCAATATTATCATGGTGTTTGTAAGTAGTATTTTTTTCCCGGCCTCGACTCCGCCTGCATAGCTTTCTCCCACGGCCGCCTGGTCATCGATGTCGCTACCGCCACTCCCACCCTTCCCCTCCTCGCCTCTGTTCGTCTTCATGGCTAAAATCAAATGATCCCCAATTTTCATGTCATGTTGATATGTTTCGATGATCTTTTTTTATCAAAAGTTATCTCGCATGGGCTGCATGAGTTACCCACATATATGGCATGTAAGTTATCATGTTATTTACACGAAAAGTTATCGGTGGTATGTTTTCAACAACTTTTTCCCCCTGGTCAATGATATTGTGGTGTTTCTACCCAAGTTATCAGATCTACAGATTGTATATTACCCTCCTATTTATGAAAAAGTTATCGAGTGCATGTTTTTAACAACCCCCCCTTCAAAGTTACCGCTGAGTTATCAACTCTGCGGTTCGTATATTATCATGTTATTTACACTAAAGTTACCAGAGTTATTTTCAACAAGTTTTTTCCTCAAGGTCACAGTTACCAGGGTATTTGTATATAAGTTATCCATTTTTTGGTGCATATATCACCATACTATTTAAACAAGAAATTTTGGGTGCACATTTTTGAACAAAATTTTCTTTGGTCGAACTTACTGTGGTGTTTGTATGAAGTTATTAGGTCTACAGTTTGTGTACATAAGTTACCAGGTATAAGCTGTGTATACTACAGGGCGGAGCTTTCTTAGGGCCAAACTGGGTTGTGGCCCGCCCAGGATTTGTGCTCCTTATTTTAACTATGCATCAAAAGCCAACCCAGCCCACCACCTGTAGTACTAAGCAACATGTTTAGGTGATCAGG